TTCTTCCCGAGACACGGATCCACAAGGAAGGCCGAGGTACGGAGCATGCGTGAAGGTAGGCAGTCCTTGGTTCGTTTAGCGACCGTTCGGAATTACAACGGCCCCGGAAAAAGGGACTTGGGACCCTTTTTCACACTTAACGACTGTCGGTCACAGGGTCAAAATTCGGACGCTTGGCAACGGGCTCGTGTTTATGACGGTCGCCATGTCCCGGGGGACGGTGTGTCACGTGATCCCCTTTTGCGACGGTCCAACACACAAAGTCGACGGGGGAAGACAGGTTCACACGACTTAACGTGTGACTAACTTAACAACTGCAGGGGTGGGTTTAACAATTTGGGCGAGACAGGCCACCAAATGGGGCTAAACTCACTTAACAACTTTGTCGCTTAGCAGCAGAAATGTTGGGCTCAATTGTGGTTGTAAGTCGAGGACTCCCTGTGAAGAGTTTCTCCCTCTTTCCCATCTGAAATCAGAGATGATGTTGGCTTTTCTAATCAAGGGTGTGAACGCCAGACTCTCTAAATCATTTCAATCCCAATCTGGTGTTTCCTGTAGGCCCAGCAGAAGATCAGGGTGGGAGATGACCATCATCAGTTGACCTTCATCTCTAACCATTGTCCAGCCCTTCCTGGCTTTCTTCTCCCATGTGGTCGACCCCTACCCAACCAACCACCATTTCAGAAAGCGTCCCACCAAGGTGGACACGTAGAACGTGGCAACATCTCCACCATGGGTGGTGGGATGGAGTGGGAGAGGATGGACAGGAACGGGACGCTGGATGGACTTCAAGACTCGGTCCACCATCTGTGATGTTCTTGGCCCTGGGTGGTGGGACGGAGTGGGAGAGGATGGACAGGAATGGGATGCTGAGGACTTCCAAGACTTGGCCCACCATCTGTGATGTTCTTGGCCCTGGGTGGTGGGACGGAGTGGGAGAGATAGATAGGAACAGGATGCTGGGTGGACTTCAAGACTCGGTCCACCATCTGTGATGTTCTTGGCCCTGGGTGGTGGGACGGAGCGGGAGAGGATGGACAGGAACAGGATGCTGGGTGGACTTCAAGACTCGGTCCACCATCTGTGATAATCTCATAGTCAACTCTCCCATTGTTGGTCAACAAGGCCTTCACTGGTTTGGGAAAGTTGTCTCCCCTGTGCTACTGTTCTGCTGTCCTTCACCCCTCAAAGCAAAAATGGGACCTCCAAGTTCAGATTTTCTTGGAAGGGGGCACTTCCCCCCCCCCAGGAAAACGTGGGACTTCCTCCCTCTGATCTCACTTTTAATGCACTGCCAACCACGTGGACTCCAGTAGGGTTGACTGTTGTGGGGTTTTGTGTTGATGCTCTGCAGAGCACCATCCTGAACTTTGTCCCTATGGATGTGTGGGGTAGAAATGCCCAACCATCATAACTGGAGGGAGGAGAGTTGAAAGACACCATGTTTCCTGTACCCAACGAGACCTTGGGCCTCCCACCTTCAAGGAACCAAGAGGTCGCCCAAGGAACATCTGCACCCTTCCAGGCAATCAAGACCTTTCCCAAGGCCCTTCCCGTTTTCTGGAATCATGGGTCTGCTGAGACAGCCTTCTTCTCGTGGTGGTGTCAACAAGGACTCAAGCAAAGGTCATTAACCCCTTGGACTTTACACCATCTTTCCCAAGCTGGTCTCTTCCAGACCATCTAGATTTGACTCATGTTCCAAATAGAGGTTGGGAGCCTAGCCCGACGTCCTGGAAGGATGTCCCAACGGGTAAGCTGGTTTCATCTCAGGCTCTGCTCCATCGTACATCTGGAAAGCTGGTGTATCAACCTGTAAACCGGTGACGCCAACTCGGGGAGCAGGTCTACCCAACTGAAGCGACCATCCAGGAGAGGACGTCCCGTCAAGTTGTGCAAAACAAGGAGGTAGGTCAGGATATCTTCACGCTCACAAAGCTTCTGTGGAGCAGTTGAAGCCACGCGCCTCAAGGTTCTCCTACTCTCGACAGCCCCACGAGAGGACCGATGACCACAGCTCTCCTCTCTGTTTCTTCATTTTTTGGGGTGGTTCCATCCTCCCCTCCCCAAAAAATACCCCCCAAAGTTGAAAAGTTCTCTGGTAACAAAAATATCCCTGCGTTGGACCCGCAGTAGTGCAAATGAGGAAGGCGAGGATGTCCACGCCTTGTCACTTCTTGAAGGGGAAGGAAACGGGCTGGACTTTGAAGCCTGGGAGGGGTCTAAAGAAAGAAGGAAGGCAACAAAAGAAATTTGTCAGAAGAACCAGAAAATATATATTATATATTATATATAAATAAAAATGTAAATGTTCATTTGTTCAAAATCTTAAATCTCCGAACGTTCTTCACCGATTGCTTTGAAATTTTGACACAATGTTGCATTCGAATACGCGCGTGTTTTTATATACCTATATTATATAGATGTCACACCTGTGACAGGTAAAAACATGCTTTTTGGAAAAACAGCGCCATCTGTTGGACGTAAAAGCAACACACGCTTTTACCAGACTGAGCCACAGCAACGCGTGGCTGGGGACAGCTAGTATATATACAGTACATATACAGCTAGTATATATATAGTATATATACAGCTATATATATAGTACAGCTAGTATATATAACTGACGATCACCAGGAGGATTCAAGTAAGAAAATACTTTAATAAAACCAAGCTTTCATTGAGAGCTCCCAACATCGTCAGGGTTAAAAGCCAGTCATCGGAAACACCTTAAATAAGGTTGGCTAGCGTTTGCACCCGGCTCCTAGAGCGCGTCATCGGTCCTAGCCGGTTAACCTGCACCCTGGTCGTTTCTCCGGCATCTGCATCTAATTCTCCCCTATCACTCTTTTGAGCACTCTTAACTTTGTTCGGACCCTTTTTCCCTCTTCACCAGGAGACAGTGAGTTCTAGTCCCACCTTAGGAATGAAAGCCGGCTGGGTGACTTTGGGCCAATCACCAGGAGATGGTGAGTTCTAGTTTTGCCTAAGACATAAAAGCCAACCGGGTGACTTTGGGCCAATCACCAGGAGACGGTGAGTTCTAGTCCCACCTTAGGAATGAAAACCGACTGGGTGACTTTGGGCCGTTCACCAGGAGATGGGTGAGTTCTAGTCCTGCCTTAGGAATGAAAGCCAGCCAGTTGACTTTGGGCCAATCACCAGGAGACAGTGAGTTCAAGTCCCACCTTAGGAATGAAAGCCGGCTGGGTGACTTTGGGCCAATCCCCAGGAGATGGGTGAGTTCTAGTTTTGCCTAAGACATGAAAGCCAGCTGGGTGACTTTGAGCCAATGACCAGGAGATGGTGAGTTCTAGTCCTGATTTGGGGATGAAAGTTAACTGGGTGACTTTGGGCCAATCACTGGGAGGCTGTGAGGTCTAGTCCCACTTTAGGCATGAAAGTTAGCTGGGGGACTCTGGGCCCATCACCGGGAGGCTGTGAGTTCTAGTCCTGCCTTAGACATGAAAGCTGACTGGGTGACTTTGGCTCAATCACCCAGAGACGGTGAGTTCTAGTCCTTTTTGCCCTTTTACGTGGATTTCCGTTCCTCGGCCCGCTTTCGGTTCCCAACGGCGTTGTCCTCTTTCACGGCCAACTTACTTGAGAGGTCTGGAGAGATGGTTCAAGGCCCTGGTGCCTGCTGGCTTGGCGTTGGTCGGGGGGACCATGACCAGCAAGGCTGGACTCGGAGCTGGGGCCACGTCTTTGGCCAGAAGAGTCTTGGGGAGGGGTCTGTAAGGTGGTCTCTGCTGTGGGTTGACCTGCCCGGAGGAGAAAGCAAAAGAGCAATAAGGTGGGTCTAAGACAGCGTTTCTCAACTTCAGCCACGTTTAAGATGGCTGGACTTCATCTCCCAGAATCCCCCACGCCCTGCAGGGGAAATATCTGGATATATAAAACCTGCCAGGAGCAAATTGTAGGTGCCAGAACTAACACACACACACACACACACACACACCCCAACTCGTCAGGGGAATGGGAGCAAGCAACTCACCGGAGGGGGTCGGACGGGGGCGCTCGGAAGAGGCTTCTTCGGAGGGGGCAGTTTGGCGGGACCCCCAGACCCAGCTTTCGGAGGCATGGCGGGCGATCCCTGGAACGGCGGTGGGGGAGGCCGGGAAGGTTTGGGGTCCCTCTGGAAGGGGGCCGAGGGGCCGCAGCTGGGCCGTAAGGGTCGTACCACGTTGATGGGGTGGGGGCCCCCTTGAGGAGGGTTGGGCTTAAGCGAGGAATTGCCTCTTGCTACCTGGGGGGAGAGAAAAGAAAAGAGGAGATCAGGGGATTCCCAGGTGGAAAATGCCAGTTGTGAAGGCACTGGGCTAAAAACCAGGAGACGGCGAGTTCTAGTCCCGCCTTAGGCATGAAAGCCGGCTGGGTGACTTTGGGCCGATCACCAGGAGACGGTGAGTTCTAGTTCCCCGTTAGCCATGAAACCCGGCTGGGTGATTTTGAGCCACACACCAGGAGACGGTGAGTTCTAGTCCTGCCTTAGGCATGAAAGGCAACTGGTTGATTTTGGGCCAATCACCAGGAGATGGTGAGTTCTAGTCCCGCCTTAGGCATGAAAGTCAACTGGTTGACTTTGGGCCAATCACCAGGAGACTGTGAGTTCTAGTCCTGCCTTAGGCATGAAAGGGAACTGGTTGACTTTGGGCCAATCACCAGGAGACTGTGAGTTCTAGTCCTGCCTTAGGCATGAAAGGGAACTGGTTGACTTTGGGCCAATCACCAGGAGACTGTGAGTTCTAGTCCTGCCTTAGGCATGAAAGGGAACTGGTTGATTTTGAGCCACTCACCAGGAGACGGTGAGTTCTAGTCCCGCCTTAAGCATGAAAGGGAACTGGTTGACTTTGGGCCAATCACCAGGAGATGGTGAATTCTAGTTCCCTGTTAGCCATGAAACCTGGCTGGGTGATTTTGAGCCATTCACCATGAGACTGTGAGTTCTAGTCCCACCTTAGGCATGAAAGGCAACTGATTGACTTTGGGCCGATCACCAGGAGGCGGTGACTTCTAGTCCCGCCTTAGGCATGACAGGCAACTAGTTGACTTTGGGACAGTCACTAGGAGACGCTGAGTTCTAGTCCTGCCTGATGCCTCAACCAGAGCACCAAACTGGCTCTCTCTCAAAATATTAGGGCACTGCAAAACTATACAGGTAGTCCTCGACTTACGACCATAGTTGAAAGCAGGAGTTCAGGCTGGCTGAGGAATTCTGGGAGTTGAAGCCCACAAGTCAACAAAGGGCCAACTTTAAAGACCCCTGATTTAACACGTGTGGAAAGGAAGGTCGTAAAATGAAGCAAAGTCCAATTAAACCACTGTCTGGCTTAGCAACGTGTCGCTCATTCGTGGTCGTAAGCTGAGGACTACCTGTTTGATAATCAGCCTTCAAATGGACCACAAAACGTTTGAGCCGGGATGACTTTGTTCACCTGGCTGGTAGTGCTGGACTTTTTTTTATTAGTGGAGGAAATATCCTGCAAAGTGAAGCCGGAATTAGAGTGTCCTTGCGTTGTTTTCTGACGAACAATTCCGTTCCTGTCACAAAAAAACAGAAAGAAAGAACAGATTAAAAAAAGCAACCTAGAACGAAGGAGAAACTTCCTGACAGTCAGAACAATTAACCAGTGGAACAACCTGCCACCAGAAGCGGTGAATGCTCCAACACCGGAAGTCTTTAAGAAGAAACTGGACAGCCATTTGTCTGAAATGGTATAGGGGTTTCCTGCCTGAGCAGGGGGTTGGACTAGATGACCTATAAGGTCCCTTGCAACATTATTATTATTATTATTATTAACAACCTGCCTCCAGAAGCTTTGAATGCTCCAACACTGGAAGTCTTTAAGAAGAGACTGGACAGCCCTTTGTCTGAAATGGTCTAGGATTTCCTGCCTGAGCAGGGGGTTGGACTAGATGACCTCCAAGGTCCCTTCCAACTTGATTATTATTATTTATTTATTTTTAAAAAAAACCTTAAGCGTTGGGGAAAAAAACGAAGATCGCTTTCAGATCTGCCCATTGCAATTCTGAATTGAAACTCAGTGTACAGGCAGGCCCAAAATTCCTGTTCTTAAGTGAGATGTTTGTTAAATGAGTTTTGCCCCGTTTTACGACATTTCTTGCCTCGGTCATTAAAGGAACCTCTGCGGTTGTTAAGGTCATCCCCCACCTGGTGACTATCCTGCAGAGAGGCTTAAAAGTGCTGCAGTCTCCAAGCAGAATGAAAAATATGAGAATATATATTGATATGACTTTAAAGGTGGATCTTTTCCAAGCTTGCAAGTAGCCCCCCTAACTTACGACAAGCCGCTTAGTGAATGTTTGAAGTTACGACGGACCTCCCAAAAGTTACCCAAGACTTAGATCAGAAGTCTCGGTCATATCACGAGATTTTGGGCGCTCAGCAAACGGTTCAAACAGTGGCTGGAATTGGGAATGTCTAGTTTAATGAAGAGAAGGACGAGGGGGGACATGATAGCAGTCTTCCAATATCTCAGGGGCTGCCCCAAAGAAGAGGGAGTCAAGCTATTCTCCAAAGCGCCCGAAGGCAGGACAAGAAGCAACGGGTGGAAACTAAGCAAGGAGAGAAGCAACCTAGAACTAAGGAGAAACTTCCTGACAATTAGGACAATTAACCTGTGGAACAACCTGCCTCCAGAAGCGGTGAATGTTCCAATTAAGAAGAGACTGGACAGGTCTCTTCCAAATTTTTTATTATTATTATTATTATTATTATTATTATTATTATTATTATTATTATTATTATTATTATTATTATTATTATTATTATTATTATTATTATTATTATTATTATTATTATTAGACTGGACAACCATTTGCCAGTATCTCAGGGGCTGCCCCAAAGAAGAGGCAGTCAAGCTATTCTCCAAAGCCCCTAAAGGCAGGACAAGAAGCAATGGATGGAAACTGACCAAGGAGAGAAGCAACCTGGAACTAAGGAGAAACTTCCTAAAGGTGATAACAATTAATCAGCGGAACTCCTTGCCTCCAGAAGTTGTGGATGCTCCAACACTGGAAGATTTTAAGAAGAGACTGGACAGCCATTTGCCTGTAATGGTATAGGGTCTCCTGCCTGAGCAGGGGGTTGGACTAGATGACCTCCAAAATCCCTTCCAACTTTACTATTATTATTATTATTATTATTATTATTATTATTATTATTATTATTATTATTATTATTATTATTATTATTATTATTATAGCTGTTGGCTGTTTTGCACTTTCCAGTTTCCAGCCCCCACCCCACCCCAAAAAAACTCCATAGCAAACCACGGTATCGCTTAAAAAACTGCGGCAAAAAAGCCGTAAAATTGGGCATATAACGCCACACAGTAACCGGCTTAAGAAGCATTATAGTTTGCGGCTGTAATTGTAGGTTCCATTATGGTTATATAAGTCGGGGACTCTCCGTTCAGGGGTTACGGCTGTAATTGTGAGCTCAATTAGGGCCCTAATTGGGGGGCAGAATGAACGTTGATCGAAGACCCTTCCTTTTTTTTTCTCCCCCCACCCCCACCCCACCAAAGCTGACATCCCTCCCAATGATTTTTCCATTATCTTTTCTCCACTGGGATCAATTATTTTTCATTTTATAACAAGAAGATGATGACAGCCGAACGGTAAAATAATTCTCGAGATTATGTTGTACATAATTAAGTTTGCTGCCTTGAATGAAAAAGTGTTGGGTTGTTTCCAGCATCCATCTCTCCTTGGTCTGGGGCTATACCAGATCGCTTTAAGAGATGATGATGATGATGATGATGATGATGATGATGATGATGATGATGATGATGATGATGATGATGATGATGATAATAATAATAATAATAATAATAATAATAATAATAATAATAATAATAATAATAATAATAATAATAATATAAAATTGGAAGGGACCTTGGAGGTAACCTAGTCCAACCCCCTGCTCAGGCAGGAAACCCTATACCATTTCGGACAAATGGCAGTCCAGTCTCTTCTTAAAAACTTCCAGTATTGGAGCATTCACCACTTCTGGAGGCAGGTTGTTCCACTGGTGAATTGTTCTAATTGTCAGGACGCAACTGGATTAGCCATGATTTCACCCTGGGGAAATGAGAATCGGCTTAGCCCCCGGGGTGAATCGGGGCCACCGGCTGAATTTATGGCTTAAGGAAACCGAAAGTGGGTTTGTTTGCAACTGGGTTAAAGCAGGTTGTGTGGACGAGGGCCACCAGTGAGTTAGGGGTGCCTTTCCGTGAAAAATAGTTCGGGTGCAAGGGTTATCCATGCAGTGAATCTGCAACTAACGGTGAGGAGGAGAAATCGGGGTGCGCGGCGAGTATTAGGAGAAGAGAGAGAAGAAAAGGATTCACACATTGTGAGGGATCTGCGCACCTGCCGGTCTTCTGCCTCTTCCTTAAGTCCTTGACCCACTTGTTGAGGAGCGAACTCTCTCGTCTGTAGCAGGTGTAGAGCCCCAGGAGCAGAGAGGGCACCAAGAGCAAGAAGATCACCAGCAAAGTGATCAAGATGGCTTCATAATCTGTGAGAGAGTCCATGGAGGAGGAGAAGGTCACAGTTGCAGGCTTCAGTTGCCCCACATAGACTAACATCCATCCAACCTTCCACCCTTATTTCCTTCCTTCCTTCGTTCCATCCATCCATCCATCCATCCATTCTTCCCCCCTTATTTCCTTCCTTCCTTCCTTCGTTCCATCCATCCATCCATTCCTTACATACATACATCCTTCCATCCATCCATCCATCCATCCATATTTCCATCCATTCATCCCTTACATCCATCCATTCTTCCATGTATCCATCCATCCTTCCATCTTTATTTCCATCCATCCTTCCATCCTTATTTCCTTCCTTCCATCCATCCTTCGATCCATCCATCCATATTTCTATCCATCCATGCTTTACATCCATCCATTCTTCCATTTAGCCATCCATCCTTATTTCCATCCATCATCCCATCTTTATTTCCATCCATTTATCCATCCAACCTTCCATCCTTATTTCCTTCTTTCCATCCACCCATCTATCCTTCGATCCATCCATCCATATTTCCATCCATCCATTCTTCCATTTATCCACCCATCCTTATTTCCACCCATCAATCCGTCCATCTTTCCATCTTTATTTCCATCCATTTATCCATCCATCCTTCCATCCTTATTTCCTTCCTTCCTTCCTTCCTTCCATCCATCCATCCCTTCCATCCTTCGATCCAGCCATCCCTATTTCCATCCATCCTTTACATCCATCCATTCTTCCATTTATCCATCCATCCTTATTTCCATCCATCCTTCCATCCTTATTTCCTTCCTTCCTTCCTTCGTTCCATCCATCCATCCATCCATATTTCCATCCATTCATCCCTTCCATCCATCCATCCTTATTTCCATCCATCCTTCCATCTTTATTTCCATCCATTTATCCCTCCATCCTTCCATCCATCCTTATTTCCTTCCTTTCTTCCATCCATCTTTTGATCCATCTATCCATATTTCCATCCATCCATCCATCCATCCTTTACATCCATCCATTCTTCCAATTATCCATCCATCCTTATTTCCAACCATCAACCCATCCATCTTTTCATCTTTATTTCCATCCATTTATCCATCCATCCTTCCATCCTTATTTCCTTCCATCCATCCGTCCAGGAGGAGGAGGAGGGAGAGGGGGAGGAAGAAGAGAAGGCAGAGGAGGAGGAAGAGGAGGAGAAGAAAGAGAAAGGGAAAGAGAGAAGGGAAAGAAGGGGAAGAAGAAGAAAATGAAGGTTGAGGAGGAGGAGGAGAAGAGGGAGGAGGAGGAGGAGAAAGGGGAGAGCAAGGGAGAAAGAGTGGGGGGGGGACTTACGGTCTTGCTGGACAGGGCCGCTATCGACACTGCCTCCCAGCCCTGGCTTCTCGCAGAATGGAGGGGCCCAGCCAGCATCACAATGACAGTTGTGGTTGCTGTTACAAACCTAAGACAATCAGAGAACGTGTGGAGTGAGTCTTGACTTTGCTTGTCAAAAGGTCAACAAAAAAACTCACGAAGGAGAGAAGCAACCTGGAACTAAGGAGAAACTTCCTGACAGTGAGAACAATTAACCAGTGGAACAACCTGCCTCCAGAAGCGGTGAATGCTCCAACACTGGAAGTTTTTAAGAAGAAACTGGACAGCCATTTGTCCGAAATGGTATAGGGTTACCTGCCTGAGCAAGGGGTTGGACTCGATGACCTCCAAGGTCCCTTACAACTTTATTATTATTATTATTATTATTGTTGTTGTTGTTGTTAAGTTGTTAAGTTGTTAAATTAGTAACCCGGTTGCTAAGTGAAATCTAGCTTCCCCCGTTGACTTTGCTTGTCGAAAGATCGGGAAAGGGGGATCACGTGACCCTCCCCCGGGACACAGCGACGGTCGTAAGTACGAGTCAGTCGCCGAGCGTCTGGATTTTGTTCACGTGGATCGCGGTGAATGCTCCAACACTGGACGTTTTTAAGAAGAGACTGGACAGCCATTTGTCTGAAATGGTATAGTTTCCTGCCTGAGCAGGGGGTTGGACTAGATGACCTCCAAGGTCCCTTCCAACTTTTTATTATTATTATTATTATTATTATTATTATTATTATTATTATTATTATTATTATTATTATTATTATTATTATTATTATTATTACATGTCCCCAGGACGCTGCGACCATCATAAATATGGGTCAGTTGCCCCAGGTCTGAATTTTGATCATGTGAACCCGGGGAGGCTTCAACGGTCGTAAGTGTGAAAAACGGTCCTAAGTCCCTTTTTCCAGTGCCGTTGTAACTTCTCACAGCCACTAAACGAGCCGTTGTAAGCAGAGGACCTACTTGTCATCTATAGAGTTGCTAGAGACACGTGCAAAAGGGTTTATTTGAGCACCTGCCTCTTGTTTGAAAATCGTGATGCATTAAATGAAATTCTCGTCTCATTTTTGCCCCCCCCCCAAATTCGCCCAAAAGAGAAGGTGGGCATCTAACTTCAGAAATATATACAAGCCTGGTTAGAAAAAAAATATATTAGGTGAACATGTTGATTTCAAACCTGAACTTTTCTTGTTAGGTATAATGGCTGAAAAGATTAACAAACAAAGCGTGTATTTGATTTTACACGTCATTACAGCGGCAAGAATAACTTTTGCACAATATTGGGAAAATGAAGCACTACCACCAGAAGAAGAAATAATATTGGAATGCGTGGAGATAATAATAATAATAATAATAATAATAATAATTATTATTATTATTATTATTATTATTATTATTATTATTATTATTATTATTATTATTATTTAAAAAAAAGTGGGGACCATGGAGGTCGAGTCCAACCCCCTGCTCAGGCAGGAACCCTACACCATTTCAGACAAATGGCTGTCCAGTCTCTTCTTAAAAACTTCCAGTGTTGGAGCATTCACCGCTTCTGGAGGCAGGTGGTTCCACTGGTTAATTGTTCTAACTGTCAGGAACTTTCTCCTTAGTTCTAGGTTGCTTCTCTCCTTGATCAGTTTCCATCCGTTGCTTCTCGTCCTGCCTTCAGGCACTTTGGAGAAAGCTTGACTCCCTCTTCTTTGGGGCAGCCCCTGAGATATTATAACACTGCTATCATGTCCCCCCTCGTCCTTCTCTTCATTAAATTAGACATACCCAATTCCAGCAACCGTTCCTTATATGTTTTAGCCTCCAGTCCCCTCATCATCTTTGTTGCTCTTCTCTGTACTCTTTCCAGAGTCTCAGCATCTTTTTTACATCATGGTGACCAAAACTGGATGCCGTATTCCAAGTGTGGCCTTACCAAGGCCTTGTAAAGGGGTATTAACACTTGACGTGATCTTGATCCTATCCCTCTGTTAATGCAGCCCAGCACTGTGTTGGCTTTTTTGGCAGCTGCAGCACACGGCTGGCTCCTATTTAAGGGATCGTCCACTAGGACTCCGAGATCCCTCTCACAGTTACTACTATTGGGCAAGGTACCCCCTATCCTACACCTGTGCATTTGGTTTTCCTTGCCTAAATGTACAGACGACTATCAAACCTGGGACTTATTCTACTATTGGCTAGAAGAAAGAATGAAGGATTAGGAGTGGAACATGTATTAGCATTGTTGATTCCAGACAGCTGGTTGGTTGAACAACTAACATCTGTATGTAAGAGAAAAATCAATAAAATCTTTAATTCAGAAACAGAAATAAGCCAAAGCTTTCGCTGCCGACTCACCCCGTGGCTGTGACATTTGGAGATGCATTTATCCTGTTCGAAAAAGGACGCATTTTGACATCGCTGGTCTTTGCACACCTGCAAGGGAAATCCCCCCCCCCAAAAAAGTCATCATTAGCAAATGAGAAGGGATGTTCTGAAATGATTTTAGAGTCAGTTGTGATTAAAGAAGTCTGATTCATTATGTTCCATCAAGTCACATAATCAAAAAACAAAACTGACACTTAGGAGCTGCGTAAACAGATTTTCTCCCTGACAATTAAGGAACGGTGGCTGGAATTGGGTATGTCTAGTTTAATGAAGAGAAGGACGAGGTATGACAGGATAGCAGTCTTTCCAGTATCTCAGGGGCTGCCCCAAAGAAGAGGGAGTCAAGCTATTCTCCAAAGCAGCTGAAGGCAGGACGAGAAGCAGTGGATGGAAACTAATCAAGGAGAGAAGCAACCTGGAATGAAGGAGAAACTTCCTGACAATCAGAACAATTAACCAGTGGAACCACCTGCCTCCAGAAGCGGTGAATGCTCCAACACTGGAAGTTTTTAAGAAGACTGGACAGCGTCTGAAATGGTATAAGGTTTCCTGCCTGCGCAGGGGGTTGGACTAGATGACCTCCAAGGTCCCTTCCAACATTATTATTGTTATTATTAACAACCTGCCTCCAGAAGCAGTGAATGCTCCAACATGGGAAGTCTTTAAGAAGAGACTGGACAGCCATTTGTCCGAAATGGTATAGGGTTTCCTGCCTGCGCACGGGGTTGGACTAAATGACCTCCAAGGTCCCTTCCAACTTTATTATTATTATTATTATTATTATTATTATTATTATTATTATTATTATTATTATTATTAATCATTGCACAGTCAGCCAGATGTTCAGACTGGATTTGGCATTTTTGTCTACCTATAGAATCCTTCCCAAGGACCTGGGATAGGCAGATGTGGATGTTTGATGGTACTTTATTATTATTATTATTATTATTATTATTATTATTATTATTATTATTATTACTATTATTATTATTATTATAGATCATCGCACAGTCATCCAGATGTTCAGATTGGATTTGGCATTTTTGCCTACCTATCGAGTCCTTCCCAAGGACCTGGGATAGGCAGATGTGGATGTTTGATGGTATTACAGATATCGTCGCAGGATGGAAGCCGTTCCTAGTAAGGCCGCCTTTTGCAATTGACTAATGGCGAATTTGTCAATGCCGATGATGGTGTCCAAGTGGTGCTCCAGTTGTTTTGGGATTGCAGCCAAGGCACCTATTACTATAGGTACTACCCTTGGTGGTGGTATTATTATTATTATTATTATTATTATTATTATTATTATTATTATTATTATTCCCTTTTTCTAGCTTGCTGTGTCATAAAAAAAGTCCAGCTGCTTTGCTGAGTTTGTGGCCACTGCATGACCTATTATTGCATCGTGAAACACAGAAGGCAGAAAAGTTGGCTGCTGTTTCCCTTCTCTGGAGGACTCACCAACCCATCTCCACACTTGGTGCCCGTCATCACCAACCCCGGGTCGGAGAGGTCTCCCTCGTCATCCTTGGTGGCGTAGACTAAGGTCCCTCGGCACTTGATCTCCTGCCCGTTAAACCGGATGGTGGTGTCCATGGAGATGGTGTTGGTCCCCTTGGGCTTGGCAGCTGAGCTTTGACACTGGATCTTCCCACACTTGGCATCTCTGGAAGGGGGAAAAAAAAAAGAGAATCCTCTAGTTCTATCAGGGGGAGAACTAGAGGATTCAAGAGACAGGATCCCTGGCTGATAGGGATCTCATCCAGGTGTCCTGGCAAAGCCAACGATCAAGCAGAAATGAGCAGGGGCTCAAGTCAGGAAGTTCAACCGCAAACTGTGGAAAGTGTCAGGGTCCTTCTCCAACAACACTTGGGAGGGACCATCTACTCTTATCCAGGGCAGAGATTTGATTATGCCCGCACGGAATGGAAGTCTGCCCTTCTGTTGTGGTTGACCAATTTTGTATTTACTTCCAAAGTTAAAATATAAAATCAAAAAAACAAGAAAGGGGAGTGGGGAAACCAAAGATGTAAAAGAAGGAAAGGAGGGGGGAGGGAGGAAGAAAGAAAGAAAGAAAGAAAGAAAGAAAGAAAGAAAGAAAGAAAGAAAGAAAGACATAAAACAGGAAAGAAGGAAGGAAGGAAGGAAGGAAGGAAGGAAGGAAGGGAAAGAAAGAAAGAAAGAAAGAAAGAAAGAAAGAAAGAAAGAAAGAAAGAAAGAAAGAAAGAAAGAAAGAAAGAAAGAAAGAAAAAGAAAGAAAGAGAAAAAAAGAAAGAAGTAAAACTGGAAAAAAGAAAGAAAGAGAAAGAAAGAAGTAAAGCTGGAAAAAAGAAAGGAAGGAAGGAAGGAAGGAAGGAAGGAAGGAAGGAAGAAAAACTGGAAAGAAAGGAAGGAAGGAAGGAAGGAAGGAAGGAGGGAAATGTGTGTAAAGCAAAATATCAAACTTACACATAAAATGTCCCCCTTGACTGAATACTGATAAATATACAATATTTCAAAAGAACATGTCCACAATTTATAATAATAAAGTTGGAAGGGACCTTGGAGGTCATCTAGTCCAACCCCCTGCTCAGGCAGGAAACCCTATACCATTCCAGACAAATGGCTGTCCAGTCTCTTCTTAAAGACTTCCAGTATTGGAGCATTCACAGCTTCTGGAGGCAGGTTGTTCCACTGGTTAATTGTTCTCACTGTCAGGAAGTTTCTCCTTAGTTCCAGGTTGCTTCTCTCCTTGATCAGTTTCCATCCGTTGTTTCTCATCCTGCCTTCAGGCGCCTTGGAGAATAGCTTGACTCCCTCTTCTTTGGGGCAGCCCCTGAGATACTGGAAGGCTGCTATCATGATTCACTTAAACAACTGCGCCAAGAAAGGTTGTAAAATGGAGCAAAATTCCTTTAACAAACGTCTCACTTAGCGACAAAAACGTTGGGCTCAGCTGTGGTCGTAGGTATCAACCTGTATCAATCAATTCCAATTTGAACTACCCTCTATCCACTGTAAAAAAAAAAAAGACCAAGTGATCCCAATCACGGGTGTCCTTTAACTGGGACGAATGCCAGCAGCAACTGGGAATCTATTTGGTTGACGCTGTTGTTGAAAACTTCATCTGACTAAGCACCTCAGAATGAACATCTGGATGCCTTCGCGGCGCTAGGCGCTCACCTCATGGCACATTTCACATAGTTGCCTTGTCGGTCTTTCCCACAGTTGCCGTACATGTCCCCAGCCCTGTTGACATCCTGGAAGCAGGCGTCGGGCGCTGGCCAAGCTCCTGTGGGGCGAGAGGGGACCCGATTTAGCCTTGAAAATGTTTTTTTCTAGCACATTTAAAAGTAAGATCAACTCAGGAAAAAAAGACTGGACTGGACTGGACTGGACTGCACTGGAAGAGAAGAGAAGAGAAGAGAAGAGAAGAGAAGAGAAGAGAAGAGAAGAGAAGAGGATATAGAATAGAATAGAATAAAATAGAATAGAATAGAATATAGAATAGAATAGAACAGAATATAGAATACAGTAGAAGAGAATAGAACAGAACAGAACATAGAATAGAACAGAACAATAGAATATAGAATAGAATAGAATAGAATAGAACAGAATATAGAATAGAATAGAATAGAATAGAATAGAATAGAATAGAATAGAATAGAATAGAATAAGGGATAGAATAGAATATAGAATAGAATATAGAATAGAATAGAATAGAATAGAATAGAATAGAATAGAATAAAATATTGGAAAATAGAAATAGAATTAGAATAGAAATAAGAATAGAATAGAATAGGAATAGAAATAGAAATAGAGAATAGAAAACAATAGAATAGAATAGAATAGAATAGAATAGAATAGAATAGAATGAGGATGGAATGGAATGGAATAGAATAGAATAGAATAGAATAGAATAGAATAGAATAGAATAGAATAGAATAGAATAGAATATAGGAAAGAATAAGAATAGAATAGAATAGAATAGAATAGAATAGAATAGAATAGAATAGAATAGAATAGAATGAGGATGGAATGGAATGGAATGGAATGGAATGGAATGGAATGGAATAGAATAGAATAGAATAGAATAGAATAGAATAGAATAGAATAGAATAGAATAGAATGAGGATGGAATGGAATGGAATGGAATGGAATGGAATAGAATAGAATAGAATAGAATAGAATAGAATGAGGATGGAATGGAATGGAATGGAATGGAATAGAATAGAATAGAATAGAATAGAATATAGGAAAGAATAAGAATAGAATAGAATAGAATAGAATAGAATAGAATAGAATAGAATAGAATAGAATAGTAAAAGTATTTATTAGTCAAAGTAATAAAGGCAGGATAGAAACAAACGAGTAAAAACGACGGGCCGAGAGAGAGCCAGAGGGAAGGGGATGCTTACCTGGTCCCCACAGCTGGACGCACTGCTGGTGGTGCGTCATGCACATGCCGTTGTAACAATACTCCCCTCCATGAGAACACGTTGAGCCATCCAACAAGTAGACATTGGAAGGGCAGTAGGGGGAGGCGCCCGTGCAATATTCCGGGAGGTCGCACGATCCAGCTGGCTGTCGGCACAGGATCCCGGCTGTCTTGAGCTACAGGAGGCCAAAGAGAAGGAGCTTTCCACCAAAGCAGGCTATTTTCTTTGGATTGAGGGTAGCAGGGATCAAACCACGATCAGTCTAGGTCTAGGTTATTACCTTGCAGGAATGACAACATTCCCCGTGGGCGCACTCCGCTCCGGCTTTCAGCGTGCAATTCTGGGGGTTACAGCAAGGATTGGTGCATTCCTGAAAAAGGAAGCGGATTCTTTTCACTCGTGATCCGTTTCCAAAAGCCCAGCACTGGTGATTGGCCCAAAGTCACCCAGCTGGCTTTCATGCCTAAGGCGGAACTAGAACTCACCGTCTCCTGGTGATTGGCCCAAAGTCTCCCAGCTGGTTTTGTGCCTAAGGCGGGACTAGAACTCACCGTCTCCTGGTGATTGGCCCAAAGTCACCCAATTGACTTTCATGCCTAACTCAGGACTAGAACTCACCGTCTCCTGGTGATTGGCCCAAAGTCACCCAATTTATTTTCATGCCTAATGCAGGACTAGAACTCACCGTCTCCTGGTGATTGGCCCAAAGTCACCCACCCGGCTTTCATTCCTAAGGCAGAACTAGAACTCACCGTCTCCTGGTGATTGGCCCAAAGTCACCCAGCTGGCTTTCATGCCTAAGG